AGAATTGGTGTTCTCTTCAAGAGGTAGAAGGCTTTGCTTGTTGCTTTGTTTTATTTGCTATTATTCTTGCTATTTTCCAACTATTTTTGGGTTGTAAAAACTCTGTATTTTTGGGCTGAAGCTTGGGTTTTAAGGCCAATAAAGGTTGAGCGATGGCTCACCTTTCTTTGTACCTTGTTTTGAAGGCTTTTTTCCCTTGTGCTTACCATCCTTTTACTATCTGCTTTTGTTTTTCAGAGCTATTTCAGTGGCCAAAATCATGTTTTAAAGTCCAAATTTGGAGGGGTTAGCCTCCCCTCCTTGTGTCTTGCTTACTAGCCTAGCTTGTGCTATGTTTTAGCTTATTAATCTAGCTATTTTTGTCTTAATTTCAGCACTTTTTAGGACTTATTTTAGACTATTTTAGCACTATTTTTGGTTGATAGTTGCATTTGAGCTTTGTTTTGCATGCTTATAGTGTAATTGTCCACATGAATTTTGTGTTCTAGGCCTTAGACACCATCTTGTTTGAGTTGATTGCATTTATTTATGACTTTCCATACTTGTGATCACCCTTAATCACCTCTACAACCTCCCTCCTTTCTTAGCTTTTGTTTTTCTTTGAAAGTGGTTAAAACAACTTGTTTGTTTAAAGCATGAGATTAAGGTGTCATGCTTAATGGTTTATTCCCTTTTGGGTTCATTACTAACGGTATCATGTCTCTTTCATGCGTAAAACAACATTTGGTTTGAGCCTTCTTTCTATTTAGACGACTTAAACTCACCATTGGACTCAATGAATTAAAGAATGGATGGTAATCTAAAGTAGATTTGTTAGGTTTTTATTCTTGGCAATCCCGTTTGACAAAACTCCTTTCAGCTGTACTTATTTTTGTACTTTTTATTTCAGTAAGACTATGAGCGTTTAGATGCGAATCCAACCCGAATTGTGCCTTGCAGAGAAGTTTGTGATGTTAATGCTTTCAAGATTGCCACTTCGCTGATTATGATGGGGATCGAGCTGCCCGGTCAGCTCGCGGGGGTCCAAGGGGCAGCGCCCCTTGGCGGGTCAGGGGCAGCGCCACGGCGGGGTCGAGGGGCAGCAGCCCCGAAGCAAAATGCAAAATTACATTTGAAGTTGCCTATCTGCCCTTGCTCACTCGAGCGAAGGAGTCCTCGCTCGAGCGAAGAACTGCGTCTGCATAAAGACCTGAAAGAGTTGTTTGTTCGCTCAAGCGAAGGATGCGTGGCTTGAACGAAGGCACTTATGGAAATCACGCGAGATAAGATTCTCGCTCGAGCGAGAGAAGCTTCGCTCGAGCGAGCCTCGCAGTTCCAGATTTCTATAAGTACGGGTTTCTGTCAGATTTTAGGATTACTTCTCCAGATCTTCTTTTTGGGTTCTAGGGTTTATATTTGGGGATATTTTGCTAGTTTTCTTTGATGTTTTGATTGAGTATTCAACTCATGGTTTAAGAAGTATACATCAAAGGTTTGTTTGTTTATTCTACACAATAGAGAGAGTTGTTCTTCGGTGGATTCTGAAGAATTCGAGCCTGAAGCTTTGGTGGATTCTAGAGTGGCTCATTGTCAAGACAATTCCGAGGTGAAGACGGAGTTGGAAGAGGCACATAGGGGCTAGTTCAATTCGGGCGTGGATTCGCTAGGTAATTGAGAGTATACCTGTGTAATTCCTTTATATCTTCTTAGTGGATTGTTTTGTGGCTGTTGCCCATAGTTTTTTATCACAATTGGAGGTGCTCCAATTGTGGTTTTTCCATGTAAAATTGTTTTGTCGATTTATCTTGATTGTTTGATTGGGATTGTTATTTACTGCTTAAAATTGATACATAATCACAAATCAACATCTAGGGGTTTCTAGATTTTTCAAGATTAATTAAAATTGATGCTAAAAATGGTGCAAGATAATAATTGGTTTTGTGTTCAATCGGACGTTAATTGAACACATGGAAGCTTCAGGCATTTCATACTCATTAGTGATGAAATGGTTCAAGTATCCAAGGTCACCACTTCCCTTGATCAATTCATGAAAGAGGGGAGGTTTGAGTCATATTTTGTTGCATTTATTGAACTTGCACATCTTGGTTCATGAGCCATCATGCAATGAAATTACTTGAGTTGATGGTTTGTAAACCAAGTTTACTACTCCTTTGATTTGTTCATGAAAAGAAGGGGTGAGTTGTGCAAACAAACCCTTGAAAATACCCTGTGCATGCTCTATTTATTCTCTATTGCAGCAAGATGAACTAGGCAACAGTGGCTGGCAGGCCTCACTCCTGGCTAGCCGGCCACTGATACAAAATTCAGTAGTGTGTTCTTTGAGTAGAGCAGAGCTATTCTAGAAGTGGGCAAAGGTGTTAGTGTTCTATTGTGTAACAAAGGCTCTCTAGAAGCAAAACAGTGGCTTTTCGAGTGGAAACCGAGCGCGTGCATGAGCATTCCTCGCATATCAAGCATGTTTAAGTTTAAATATTTAGTTTAGATATTTGTTGTAATTAATTAGTTATAGCTAGTTAATTTTTTAAAGTGTTGTAATTAATTAGTTAGTTAACTAGTTATTCTTGTAATTGTTTTAGTTGACTAGTTAGTTAATTAATTTGTTGTAATAATTAGTTAAGTGGTTTAGCTAGTTTAATTTGCTTTGTAATAATTAGCTTAGCTTAGTTAGCTAGTTGATTAGCTTAATTCATTCAGACTCTTTTTTGTGAGAGCGCAATACTGTAATAATGTGTATGTCTTCCAATCCCACGTCTTTCTCCCTTTTATTTAAACTGCTTATGATGGTTAGTTTAGGGACATCATGTTTCGTTTAGCATTACTCATGCTTGCATCCATTATATTGCATGCACCGAGGCTCGGCGCATCATTCTAACTTGCATTGTTAGTTTAATACTTCTTTGAATACGTGCTCAGACCACATGTTATCAAATTGTTTCATATGCCATGTTTAGTAGCCGAGCCTATTAGTTGCATATTGCATGTGTTGCATTGGTCATAGCGCATAATTAGGACTCATGCATTTTTCTAACTCTTTTGTTTGTTGTGGCTTAGAGTACTAGGTAAGCCTTTACTCACTTTAGCATATCGCATGTGTGTGAGTGTTGCCATGTCTAGCATGCTTGCCATGAGGCTAAGTGCTTAATTGCTATAAACTGCTTGAATGCCTATGAATGAAAGCTAATTTCTTGAATTGGAATAATTTGAGTAATGTTTATATCCAATCACTTTTTCAAGTGGTACATATTCGACACAATTTTCAAAAACAAACATGAAATCAAGTGTTCCAATTTTTGCAAGTTAGTCTATATTTGCATGTGTGCGCATCACATAGTAATGCTAGCCTAATAAACCAGAACAAGTGCATATAATGTACATAAGATTCATATCATGATTAGTAGAGGCCGATCTTTGATCAGGCGAGCAGGGGTGCTCAATTTATGACCTTGCCCTCTTGTACCCAAGTTCCCGAGCCGAGACAAATCTTAGTGATGACGGACACATGGCCTTTGGCACGAGTCAAGGGTTTCCTTGATTTTCCAAAATATTTAGGTGGCAACTCTGTATCTGGCAAAGCGGTTCATTTTTGATAATTTGATTCAAAATCAATTTTCTAGAAGATTTACCGAATTTAGACTCTTTGGTGCTTATCTATTTCACATTGCACTTGTGAGATTAGATTCAAAACCGTGGGAGTCCGATATTATAGGACTTACTTCGACTTTCGAAAGGGGGTGCGAAAAGGTTAGGCTACACCATGCCATGCAAAGTATCATTTTCATCATTTGAAAACCAATATGCACAATGAGAACTTGAAATTTCAATGAATTCAATGATTTTAAACCAAGTTCATGGGGCGGTAAATACGACTCAGGTAATCCCTAGGTTGGTGTCTGCAAGTAGGCATTACTAGCACTACCAAATCCCCACTTTACCGGTAGCTAGCCGAAAGGCACGTGGTACCTCCTTCAGACGTGTTTTCGGTCTTTCACCCTGGACACTCAGGCCAACTTAATCAATTTCATCTACACCTCCTATCCGGACTTACTAACGTAATTACCCCAAAACATTTTGATAAATCTTATTTCACAACATTTCTTTTTCAATGCAAAGTTTCCAATCCTAATTCAATGTTTGTAACAAGCAAAAGTATTGAAATGCCAATGCAATAATTATCAATGCCATGAAACACCCTTTCTATTTTCAATTATTCCATGCAATGTTCCCATAGTAATCACAATACTCATTTCTCTTTTCAATGGCATTCCTCATGATAGCCATATGTTCATGTAAAGCCTTCAATGAATAATCAACAATCACTATAAGAAAATTCACTTTTGGCGACTAAAATTTTAGTCGCCAAAAGTAAGGTTTTTAGTCGCCGAATCCTTTTCCCGACTAAATATTTTCGTCGCTAGATTTGTCGCGGGAAACCGGTCGGGGAAGGTTTTGGTTAGTCGCCAAAAGTCCTATAAATGGCTACTAATGTTTTAGTAGGGAAAAGTACGAGGTATTGGCGACTAAATATTTTTTAGTAGCCAAAAGTCATAAATTGGCGACTAAATATTTAGTCGCCAAAAGTTTTCAAATAAAATTAATTTTCATTTTCAGCGACTAAAACTCTTAGTCACCCAAAGTATCATTTATTATTAGCTACTAAATATTTAGTCGCTAAAAAAAATTAATTTTTATAATTTTTTTTAGCTACTAAACTAATTAGTCGCCTAAAGTCTCATATATTTTTTACTACTAAATTTTTAGTCGCCAAAAAAGCTTTCGTTTGTTTTTGGCTACTAAATTTTTAGTAGCCAACAAGTTTTATTTTGTTTTTTTGGCTACTAAACATTTAGTCACCAAAAACTTTATTTAGTGTTTTTTTTTTATTATTATTATTAATTTCTACACAACCTATATTTATTTCGCGCAACCTGCACCCTGTATCCCTGTATATAAACAAAACAATATATATGTCTATTTTTATTTCACTTTCAACCATCCAAAAATTTGGTCATGTAATATCAAATTCTATACAAACCAAATATAATCCAACCCAAAATAATAATTCCATACAAAAAGATAATCATACAAAAATGATGTCCTCTGTATACAAAAAAGAAATATTCACTAGTAATCTATACCACCAGAAAATAATTTCATCTCTGTTGGATCAACAACTATTGCAGTAATTGGTAGTGGAAAAGCTCGAGTTTGTAAAAGTCTTCTAGTAACAAGGTCCCATACCTACAATACAAAAATAAGTCATTTCGAAAAACAAAAATACTCATGCTAGCAAGATAATGACTACTGTTTTTCTTTGAGAGAAGAAAGCATGCAAAATCCAAATTTGATGTCTTGCTAGCATTTTGTAGAATAGTTATATACGGTTATTTTGAAAGGTAAGCAATTCACCTTATTTAAAGTGAAAAGATTTGCGTAACAGTAGTACACATAGTATGAGAATGCAGGATTGAACATATTAGTCCACTGAGCCGGTGTAGGCATATGTTTTGTGGGGCGTCCTTCAAGCTTGCTTTCATCATCCACCAAATCCAACCCAACAACTTGAAATCTCAAACAGATGACAGGGACAAATATCATAGTCAGTAATGTTAAGTCCTTCAGAAAGAAAGCCAGAATGCAACTTAAAATGAACACAACAGCATATGATTGTAGTTTCATAAACATTGCATGTACTCAAATATACATGTTAGGTCTAGTTTGTCTTCAGATTTGTCCAACACCAAGATCTTAGAACATGGGACTAGGACCAGATTGTGATACATATCTTTCACTTTCGTAACAATAGTAAAGTAGAATTTGCTTATGTAGTAGTATCTTCGTAATAACATGAATACATTGTGAACTAGAACTCCCTTTTTTGGATTACAATATTGTTACAAGTTCACCCATTCAACTATAACCATGACAGGCGTATATGTCACATATGGATCCATTCCTATATATCACACTACTTTGTACATCTAAAAAGTTGAGACTGGGGGTATTGACCAAAACCTAGCCATCATTCTTGCTTAACATTGCTGGAAATTAATTCTACTCAGTAATGGCCAAAATAAAAGTGGTACTTCACAATTGCTATATAAAAACTATTTTCTCTATCAAAACAAAAAAGCATGCAACTGAGGGTGCAAATCTGGATCAACAGTAAACTCAAACAGAGGAAGAAAGATATTATCAAGAATGTTCTGAAATGACGTTACAATTCCCATTTCCTTGTACACATTGTACAATCGCGGAAGCTGGAAGAAAAGGAAATTTGAATGCTTTTAATTTGTGAAAGCATTTCTATCTTAGAGCCATTAACGTTATGAAATATAGGCATTTCCAGCCCTTGAAAAAGCAGAGCTAGAAGAGAAAAACCATGATTTTAGATAGCACTAAAAGAACCTTTCTGTTGAGTAAACTAAACTAAAAATAACAAATTAAAATAAAACAGAAAATTCACCTATCCAGACATAAGCAACAACGACTCCGAAATCTTAAACCCATTAAGAAAAATCTAGAAAGCTTCAGAAGAACATTCAGAAGAAGTGATGCCAATCTTCAAGTTAAAGGATCTTCCTTTAAAATCAGTGTTTCAGAACAAACCCTTGGTCCTTTCATTAATTTTTACATATGCTTCATTCCACTGGCCTACAATAGTACTACGAGCTGCACTCAAAACCCCCTCAATGAGCACATGAATTTTAGTCCAAATTGGTTTATGATTCTTGAAAATCCTATAATCACTTGGGTTAGGTTTTCTTTTGAGATACACACAAGAAACCCAGTATCTTTTGAGAGAGAAAAAACATAAAGCACCATGAAAAGCAACCTTTCTTCTACCCCCTCCCCCCATTCACAAAAATAAAATAGAAAGCCATAACTGCATATTAGAAAAGATGAATTTTAAATAACATAATTTCTATCGAGTACCTGAATAAGCCAAACAACATTATTACTGTACAATTCATTATTCACTATCCAACTTGCCATTTAAATTCAAACTAAAATTTAATAATTAAAAAGTAAAAACTAAATGTATCTGTTTCTCAGCTTTCCAATAATCAATCTTTCCCCGGCTAATATAGATTATTTTTACTTCATAAACTTTAAATATACACTCCCACACAAATTCTTAAAATAAAAAATAATACCTAGCACCTACAAATTACACCAAACAGAGCCAACAACTATAGGAAGAAAGAGTTGAATCATCTAATTTGCAATCTTTTCTTGTGGTTCAATGATGTGCTGTGTGTATAATGCATTTCCCGGCAAAGATATATATATATATACAGCCTCTGTTAACATCATGTCACTGTTGCTTTACTTGATTCATTGTGTTTCTTTAGAAATTTCATGGCATGTTTCTCTTTGATCAGGTATGAGGTAGTTGACATGCTGCCATCCATTGAAATAAAGAAAACATATAATTGTATTGTGTATGATAATTGTATCATGTGTATAATGCTGTCATCCATCACTAATTATTTTTATTATTAGTGTATGATAATTGTATTGTATTCAATGTTGGAATGTGTTTTATGGAAATAAATAATTAAGAAAAAATGTATTTTTTTAAAAAAGACTTTTTTAGTATGCATGTTTGCTAACACATAATTAGAAGGTAATATAATGCTTTATATAATAAAAATAACGTGTTTGTCAAAATTATGTAGATAAGTCATAGAAGTCAAAAATGTAGTATTCGCATGTTGCCTCACAACACACAGAATACAGTATTGCCAGCACTGCATTATATACACTTTTTGTGAATGATTTCTGTATTTTACAGAATACAGTATTTTATTAACTACAACATAACTATTCATATTGTTCTTTGATACCAATGGCATGATCCAAATGCATACCAGATTGATATGAACATAACTATTCATATTGGTCTTTCCTTACCCTGCATTATACGTGAGAAGAAAATGAGTGATACCATTAGAGCTTTCTTCACATTACCCTCCATTGTCCCATAGGGCTTTCTTTGTGGAATCCTTAGCAAGTATGAGATGTCCTCCAGAGAATCCTAAAAGAAGAACCTGTGAGAGAGAGATTACTATCAGTTTTTTATTCAGAACCTGTTAAAATCACCAAATTAATTCTCCATATTACCGCAGGTAGGAATAAATCAAAGGGAGAGAATAAGATTGTCACTAAGAATAAAATGGTTAAGTAAAGCTTAGATGTGGAGACAAGCAATGCACAGTAGCCCCCCAAAACAAATGGGAAAATATCAGTCAAATGCTGAATGAGGAAAGTTACTTCAATTCAGTGAAAACTTGTTAAAAATTTCAGCTCACACACCACCAATCAGAGAGTGTGAAGCCTCGTAATTTATCAACGTGGAAGACGATTAAAAAATGTGATACATTTTGAGTTCTTTACCATTTTGCCAAGGGTTGTGAATTACAATCTGAAATGGTTCAAATATCCTATTCATTAACATAACATTATGTAATCTATAGGCAGCAAGAGCCCTCCTATTTGAATTATGACAAGATATATAAAAATATGGGGGATCACAAACAACACAATGCATAACAACTTTCACATACACTACACAATTTCAAATTATCCCCAAATCAAGTGCAATAAAAATTATTAATTCTTCAAAAAAAAACCATCAATTCAAGTAAAACAATGAATATAAGTAGAATAGAACTAACCATTGAAGGGTTTTTGGTGAGGATGCGGCCAAGTGTGGGGCGAATTGGAGTTACTGTGTGTTCTCTGCGAGTTCTCTTGGATCGAATTGAGGAAAGAAGGATTGAGAAAAAAGGTTGAATTGGAGTAAGGGAGACATTTATGGAAACCCTAGTGTGAGGGATGATGGTGAAGGAGAGAGAGAACGCCATGGACGATGATTGGTAGTTGCAGAGATTTTTGGCGCGCCTCATCTAAATCCTATCTATCTGTTATGTCTCTGCAATGTGTGAGGGAGAGCCGCCGATCGAGCTTCCGTGGGTGATGGATTGATTTTAGGCGACGGTGACCAACAAGGAGATGAATCGATGCTCCGGTTGCCGGCAAACGCGATGAGGAGCTTAGACACCATCTTGTTTGAGTTGATTGCATTTATTTATGACTTTCCATACTTGTGATCACCCTTAATCACCTCTATTTTAGCACTTTTGTGTTCTAGGACAATTACACTTTTGTGTTCTAGGAATTTTGTGTTCTAGGACTATTTTAGCACTTTTGTTTTTCTTTGAAAATGGTTAAAACAACTTGTTTGTTTAAAGCATGAGATTAAGGTGTCATGCTTAATGGTTTAATCCCTTTTGGGTTCATTACTAACGGTATGATGTCTCTTTCATGCCTAAAACAACACTTGGTTTGAGCCTTCTTTCCATTTAGAGGACTTAAACTCACCATTGGACTCAATGAATTAAAGAATGGATGGTAATCTAAAATAGATTTGTTAGGTTTTTATTCTTGGCAATCCCATTTGACAAAACTCCTTTTAGCTGTACTTGTTTTCGCACTTTTTATTTCAGTAAGACTATGAGTGTTTAGATGCGAATCCAACCCGAATTGTGCCTTGCAGAGAAGTTTGTGATGTTAATGCTTTCAAGATTGCCACTTCGCTGATTATGACAGGGATCGAGCTGTCCGGTCAGCTCGAGGGGGTCCAAGGGGCAGCGCCCCATGGCGGGTCTGGGGCAGCACCACGGCGGGATCGAGGGGCAGCGCCCCCGAAGCAAAATGCAAAAATGCATTCCAAGTTGCCTGTCCGCTCGAGCGGACATTATCCCACTCGAGCGGAGAATCCCTGGTTCCAGCAGTTTTGGTCGCCTGCAAAAGTACTGAGATGTGTGATTTCGCGCTCGAGCGGGTTCTCTAGCGCTCGAGCGAACCTCTGTTATATCACGCGCATATTTTGCTGAAGACGCTCGAGCGGAGATCGCGGGACAGATTCAAAATGCAAAAATGCATTCAAAATTGCCTGTCCGCTCGAGCGGACATTACCCCGCTCGAGCGGAGAATCCCTGGTTCCAGCAGTTTTTGGTCGCCTGCAAAAGTACTGAGATGTATGATTTAGCGCTCGAGCGGGATTTTTGGCGCTCGAGCGGACCTCTGTTATATCACGCGCACATTTTGCTGAAGACGCTCGAGCGGAGATCGCGGGACAGATTCAAAATGCAAAAATGCATTCCAAGTTGCCTGTCCGCTCGAGCGGACATTACCCCGCTCGAGCGGAGAATCCCTGGTTCCAGCAGTTTTTGGTCGCCTGCAAAAGTACTGAGATGTATGATTTAGCGCTCGAGCGGGATTTTTGGCGCTCGAGCGGACCTCAGTTATATCACGCGCATATTTTGCTGAAGACGCTCGAGCGGAGATCGCGGGACAGATTCAAAATGCAAAAATGCATTCCAAGTTGCCTGTCCGCTCGAGCGGACATTACCCCGCTCGAGCGGAGAATCCCTGGTTCCAGCAGTTTTTGGTCGCCTGCAAAAGTACTGAGATGTATGATTTAGCGCTCAAGCGAAATTTTTGGCGCTCGAGCGGACCTCAGTTATATCACGCGCATATTTTGCTGAAGACGCTCGAGCGGAGATCGCGGGACAGATTCAAAATGCAAAAATGCATTCCAAGTTGCCTGTCCGCTCGAGCGGACATTACCCCGCTCGAGCGGAGAATCCCTGGTTCCAGCAGTTTTTGGTCGCCTGCAAAAGTACTGAGATGTATGATTTAGCGCTCAAGCGGGATTTTTGGCGCTCGAGCGGACCTCAGTTATATCACGCGCATATTTTGCTGAAGACGCTCGAGCGGAGATCGCGGGACAGATTCAAAATGCAAAAATGCATTCCAAGTTGCCTGTCCGCTCGAGCGGACATTACCCCGCTCGAGCGGAGAATCCCTGGTTCCAGCAGTTTTTGGTCGCCTGCAAAAGTACTGAGATGTATGATTTAGCGCTCAAGCGGGATTTTTGGCGCTCGAGCGGACCTCAGTTATATCACGCGCATATTTTGCTGAAGACGCTCGAGCGGAGATCGCGGGACAGATTCAAAATGCAAAAATGCATTCCAAGTTGCCTGTCCGCTCGAGCGGACATTACCCCGCTCGAGCGGAGAATCCCTGGTTCCAGCAGTTTTTGGTCGCCTGCAAAAGTACTGAGATGTATGATTTAGCGCTCAAGCGGGATTTTTGGCGCTCGAGCGGACCTCAGTTATATCACGCGCATATTTTGCTGAAGACGCTCGAGCGGAGATCGCGGGACAGATTCAAAATGCAAAAATGCATTCCAAGTTGCCTGTCCGCTCGAGCGGACATTACCCCGCTCGAGCGGAGAATCCCTGGTTCCAGCAGTTTTTGGTCGCCTGCAAAAGTACTGAGATGTATGATTTAGCGCTCAAGCGGGATTTTTGGCGCTCGAGCGGACCTCAGTTATATCACGCGCATATTTTGCTGAAGACGCTCGAGCGGAGATCGCGGGACAGATTCAAAATGCAAAAATGCATTCCAAGTTGCCTGTCCGCTCGAGCGGACATTACCCCGCTCGAGCGGAGAATCCCTGGTTCCAGCAGTTTTTGGTCGCCTGCAAAAGTACTGAGATGTATGATTTAGCGCTCAAGCGGGATTTTTGGCGCTCGAGCGGACCTCAGTTATATCACGCGCATATTTTGCTGAAGACGCTCGAGCGGAGATCGCGGGACAGATTCAAAATGCAAAAATGCATTCCAAGTTGCCTGTCCGCTCGAGCGGACATTACCCCGCTCGAGCGGAGAATCCCTGGTTCCAGCAGTTTTTGGTCGCCTGCAAAAGTACTGAGATGTATGATTTAGCGCTCAAGCGGGATTTTTGGCGCTCGAGCGGACCTCTGTTATATCACGCGCACATTTTGCTGAAGACGCTCGAGCGGAGATCGCGGGACAGATTCAAAATACAAAAATGCATTCCAAGTTCCCTGTCCGCTCGAGCGGACATTACCCCGCTCGAGCGGAGAATCCCTGGTTCCAGCAGTTTTTCGTCGCCTGCAAAAGTACTGAGATGTATGATTTAGCGCTCAAGCGAAATTTTTGGCGCTCGAGCGGACATCTGTTATATCACGCGCATATTTTGCGGAAGACGCTCGAGCGGAGATCGCCGGACAGATTCAAAATGCAAAAATGCATTCCAAGTTCCCTGTCCGCTCGAGCGGACATTACCCCGCTCGAGCGGAGAATCCCTGGTTCCAGCAGTTTTTCGTCGCCTGCAAAAGTACTGAGATGTATGATTTAGCGCTCAAGCGGGATTTTTGGCGCTCGAGCGGACATCTGTTATATCACGCGCATATTTTGCGGAAGACGCTCGAGCGGAGATCGCCGGACAGATTCAAAATGCAAAAATGCATTCCAAGTTCCCTGTCCGCTCGAGCGGACATTACCCCGCTCGAGCGGAGAATCCCTGGTTCCAGCAGTTTTTCGTCGCCTGCAAAAGTACTGAGATGTATGATTTAGCGCTCAAGCGGGATTTTTGGCGCTCGAGCGGACATCTGTTATATCACGCGCATATTTTGCGGAAGACGCTCGAGCGGAGATCGCCGGACAGATTCAAAATGCAAAAATGCATTCCAAGTTCCCTGTCCGCTCGAGCGGACATTACCCCGCTCGAGCGGAGAATCCCTGGTTCCAGCAGTTTTTCGTCGCCTGCAAAAGTACTGAGATGTATGATTTAGCGCTCAAGCGGGATTTTTGGCGCTCGAGCGGACATCTGTTATATCACGCGCATATTTTGCGGAAGACGCTCGAGCGGAGATCGCCGGACAGATTCAAAATGCAAAAATGCATTCCAAGTTCCCTGTCCGCTCGAGCGGACATTACCCCGCTCGAGCGGAGAATCCCTGGTTCCAGCAGTTTTTCGTCGCCTGCAAAAGTACTGAGATGTATGATTTAGCGCTCAAGCGGGATTTTTGGCGCTCGAGCGGACATCTGTTATATCACGCGCATATTTTGCGGAAGACGCTCGAGCGGAGATCGCCGGACAGATTCAAAATGCAAAAATGCATTCCAAGTTCCCTGTCCGCTCGAGCGGACATTACCCCGCTCGAGCGGAGAATCCCTGGTTCCAGCAGTTTTTCGTCGCCTGCAAAAGTACTGAGATGTATGATTTAGCGCTCAAGCGGGATTTTTGGCGCTCGAGCGGACATCTGTTATATCACGCGCATATTTTGCGGAAGACGCTCGAGCGGAGATCGCCGGACAGATTCAAAATGCAAAAATGCATTCCAAGTTCCCTGTCCGCTCGAGCGGACATTACCCCGCTCGAGCGGAGAATCCCTGGTTCCAGCAGTTTTTGGTCACCTGCAAAAGTACTGAGATGTATGATTTAGCGCTCAAGCGGGATTTTTGGCGCTCGAGCGGACCTCTGTTATATCACGCGCACATTTTGCTGAAGACGCTCGAGCAGAGATCGCGGGACAGATTTCGATTCCATAATGCAAAATGCATTTCCAAAGTTGCCTGTCCGCTCGGCGACATTACTCTTCCGCTCGAGCGGGAGAATCCCTGGTTCCAGACAGTTTTTGGTTGCCCTGCAAAAGTACTGCAGATGTTGATTTTAGCGCCCGAGCCGGCGAATTTCTGGCGCTCGAGCGGACTCTGTCTACATACGCGCATATTTTGCTGAAGACGCTCGAGCGAGAATCGCGGGACAGATTCAAAATGCAAAAATGCATTCCAAGTTGCCTGTCCCTCGAGCGGACATTACCCCTCGCCTCGCCGAGCGGAGAATCCATGGTTCCAGCAGTTTTTGGTCGCCTGTGAAAAGTACTGAGATGTAGTATTAGCGCTCGAGCGGGATTTTTGGCGCTCGAGCGAACCTCTGTTATATACACGCGCATATTTTGCTGAAGACGTCTCGAGCGGAGATCGCGGGGACAGATTCAAAATGCAAAAATGCATTCCAAGTTGCCTGTCCGCTCGAGCGGACATTACCCGCTCGAGCGGAGAATCCCTGGTTCCAGCAGTTTTGTCGCCTGCAAAGTCTGAGATGTATGATTTGCGCCAGCGTTTCCGCGAGTGGGATTTTTGGCGCTCGAGCGGACCTCTGTTATATC